AAAAATAATCACAGCTTTACTCCACCCACCCCACTATGAAGTAAAAGGCTGTTTATAAGGCCATGTATGATGGTTTCATTTTTCTTATGGAAAACAATTTTAATTAAAAACTTCTATGCTCCTGTACCCAACCGTGGGGGTTCATCACACTAAACAACAGGTGTCACTATTACTAAGATAAATGTACTTTTTTTTCATTAAAATTACTGATATATATATATATATTGAGATTGCATATATTCAATCTCGGGGTGTTGCGGTGGTATATTGTGTTTAGAAAAACGACTGACCAACAGGCCTATGTCAATTGACGAAAATGATACAGCAAACAACATTCCGTCTATTATCGTGAGAGTTTGAATTATCAACGAATAATATATTGAATGAATCGGTATGGAAAAATGTGGGTGGGCTTCACGTACGGGTCAGACCAATCATGCGAGTTCCCATGGTAATGTACTGAAGTCATGAAAGCATACATTCAGTGATGACACAGATTTCTGTGACGTCTACGGATTTACGTAGCGATTCACCAGAGCATTATTTAGTGCACAGGGAATGGCACCCTGAATGACTGCAACTTGTTTGTATATAAAGTAAGTATCTTTGTAATCCTTTCAAAGGACGTTTATATCAGTTGTTATAAGGGGATTGATGAGAGTCGGGGAAGACAAGCATTAGTTTACATATTTGACGGGGTGGAGTTTTGGAATTGAAATTACCCATGAGCACTAGATGTAATCCCTAGGATCGAGCGGTTCCCCTCTGAAGTTGACACTTACGGACGTTTAGCTTACAAAGTCGTTCAGCATACTCACGGTCATTTAGCATACTCGCAGTCATTTAACACACTCATGGTCGTTTAGTGCTCTGAGCATTGTTCATAACATAATAAAAGTATTCGTTTTAAAAGAATTCGGTTTTTGTTTATCAGATATATTCTCGACAAGGCCCATACCATCAAAATAGTTGCATTTTTATCGCAGTATCGAAAAGAATGTTTTTTATCGATATATGTACTCTGCTCAGACATGTATTATAAGTATTTTTAATATTTTGTTTATTTAAGTTTATTTAAGTTGGTTTGAAATAATCATTCTGTAATAAGTCCAATCAATGCGAGAGTTTGTCTGTCCTATCTCTCATATTTTGATATGAGAATAACCTCACCATTCATCCACGGTAGAACATTTTTATGTTTCAACTTAACGCGAGGTATAAATTCATCAACTGCTATCATGGCCATATCCATCCTATATTTCAGAATTTTAATGACGTAATTTCATTTTTGCTGCATATTTGTAGTTCAGAGAGTGTTATGTATAATATTAAACAGCTATATAGTTTTCACTGTGGAAAATTCACTTCACATCTTGTCAACAACAGGACCACAGTCACATACTAATACGTACTAATCAGCAAACCGAGGTTCTCAGTTTCTTGAATATGTTAATAAAACTAGCTCTACGATTGTTAATCTTGTGTTAGTTTTGTTATCTTATTCATCTTTGACAGTGGTGGTCTTCGATCTGACACAGACTGCTTCTATTGCAGCATCCAACTGCTTCTTTTCGTGCCGAGGTGAAGTCTATGTTAACAACTTCTTTATACAACACGAATTTATAAGATGGTGGCGGGTCTTTATGCTTACTCGCCTGGAAGAGCTTTTGAGACTCAAGCAAGATTCAGCGACAAGTGTAAAAGTTTCTTTAAGAGCAATCTAGCATTTGCAAAAAGCACAGACTACCTGACTACTTTTGTTAACTACAATCCAAGATTGCAAATGTTTCTAACTCATAGTCTGGTAAGACATAATGTAAAAAAAATAAAACAAAAACACAAATTTTTAATTCTGAAAGTCTGGTACGCAAACTTGAAATAAATAAACGTAATTAGGAGTGAATGCTGTTGACGGACACTTTGCATGTGCTATACGTCCAATACACATAATTCACAATTCTATGTCAGTATCCCTGTATGACAACAACCAAGATGGCGCTCTACACTATGGCGGTAATATTGTGGGTGCACCATTAATCATTAGGATTGTCTGCATCCTTTATTCTATGTTTTTGTCATATTACCTCACACTCTGCAAATGGAAGTGCGCATGGAATCATCTTTCTGTGAGACTTGTATGAACTGCTCTGCAATCTCCTGCTTTTAGCAGTGCCCCCCAGAATAATAACATTCCTCATTCCAAAAAGGTTTTAGTCGTTTTTTTGACGACAATTGTGAATATTAAAACAGTAATTAACTGCCACAATTGTGATAATTGTATATATGTGTGAAGAATGTCGAAGTATGTAATTAACAAAACACGCTATCATTAGGATTGTCTGCATCCTTTATTCTATGTTTTTGTCATATTACCTCACACTCTGCAAATGGAAGTGCGCATGGAATCATCTTTCTGTGAGACTTGTATGAACTGCTCTGCAATCTCCTGCTTTTAGCAGTGCCCCCCCCCCAGAATAATAACATTCCTCTACAAGCAAGACTCCTGCATTTCTTTGTTGTTGTGTTACATACTGTCATCCATTTCTACACCCTGGAACTGCGAGTTATCATCAATGCACACTTCCTTAGGAAATCCCCTTATTTTAGTGACTTTATTCATTGTATTTTTCTGTGCTTTATTTCTCGTAATTATTTTGAGAGGTAATAAAGGCAGGAGCTTTAACTCGATATTTTGTGTATGTGTATTTCATTTCCAGTACTATTGTCTTGTCTACCCCATACTAGCAGAGAAAGAATCCCCCGTTCCATTATTGTGAGTTCCGTGGGTGGCCTTCTCCATTGCAATAAGCAGACTTTACAATGTGACAAGGATGATCTCAGATTAATATACTAAAACAAAAGTAAAACACAAATCAACGTGTTGGATATCTCAACTGGTAACTGGGTTACTTTGTTGCAGTTTTTCAGTTTACTATTTAATTAACACCCGGATCCTGCTACTATTCTTGTTTTGTGTTTAATTATTTTTTCCGAGTCAAATGAATTAATCACATTACGTATTGTTTAATGACGTCTTCCGTGAACACAAATAGAGTAAGAATTATTAATGTGACGAATTCTACAAAAATTGAAACATACACCATCACGTTCTTACAAAGTCGAACCCCGGGAGAGGCACTGGCTTTTCAGTTTGGTAGCAGTGTACACCCGGGAAGTAAAACCCAAGACCCCATCATAGACCATTTTCACCTCAAAAACCATAGCCCATTTTAGACCAAATAGTGATTTTTACCAAATTGTCACTACATTTATTCAGTTATAGGTTGAATCTACTTATCACCTGGACTCATCAATAACAGTGAATACATGGAAATTATTAAAACAAACCCTATCCCGGCTCCATCCTAAACAGGCAAACCTAAAGGCAAGCAAATCTACACCTCATTCTAGACCAAACTGCTGACAATTACGATGCCAGAGGCGGCACATCCCCATAATGTGATTTGCATTGGGTTAACCCCCACGGGAGTCGAACGTAATAAACATGCGTTCATTGTCATACTCAATACTAAAACACAGGCAGAAACACTATCATTTACACCTAAGATTGTTCATGTAAATTTAAAATTACAATTCTTGTTAAATCAAGATCAATATAATTCTTATTCTTGTTAACGACTCGAATCCGTGCAAATAAGTAAAGATGTGTGCACACCATGAGAACAGTGTGTGCAGCAAATCAACTGTTGATAGTATGTAAACATATAAAATGTTGGCAATATTCACAACAAATCAACTGTTGACAATATGTAAACATATTAATTGTTGACAATATTTACAACAAATCAACTGTTGTCAGTATGTAAACATATTAAATGTTGACAATATTTACAACAAAATCAACTGTTGACAGTATGTACAACATATTGAATGTTGACAGTTTGTATATCATATCAACAGTTGACAGTAAAACCATGTGCAACATATAAACTGCAGACAGTTTGTGCAACATATCTTTCAACTGTTGACAATATATATATGGTCGTCATTACCAAACTAAACAAGATACGTTACTATACAGGATATC